GTCGCAGGAAAGATAAGTGCTCTCTGGACTCAATCTCTCAAGCAAGAATATCAGAAAAATATGTAGTTTTGCTGTCTGGTTATCTCGCTCAGGCGAGAAAGGCTCGCCCAGGCGAGAATGGAAGTTAACTCAAGCGAGAATTGTATAGAAGGATATTTAAGGGACCTCAGCCTAAAAAACATTCATTTCTCACCAAATGACCTTCTCCGTTGTCTCTCATTTTTCTCTCTAGAAAGAACTCTCTCGGACTTCGAATCTCTTCCAAATCCGAGCTCAACCATCGATTCCATTCAAATCTAAGAAACCTCATCTTTCGGAATATATCTCCGTAGATATCGTGGAATCTCTCCATAGATCACTCAAAAAAATAGTTTTGAGGAACTGTTACCAGGTAAGGAGAATATTTTTTAGCTTTAGTTATATATATATATATATGGTAGTACTACGAGAAATATGAGTAACTCATTTAGTAAAGATTTGTAAATTTTGATAGTATCATATGATAAAGGTGTATTTTTTATATAAAGAAAATTTTTGAGTTTATGTGAAATTAATGAAATTAGATTCTAAAAAAAAAAAATTATGGGTTAGAACAACATTAAGAAATTTTAAGACTAAGTTACTTAGGATGTATATATGTTAATTAATAAAAGACACAAAGTGTTGAACTTTATGATAGAAGACCATATTGAGATTGTATGATTTGAACTAAGTCCGAAGGTGCTTAACCTTTGGCATATTGTTTGATTGTATGTGTGAAATTAGTGATAATTTCTGTGTTAGATTGATATATTGTATTGACTGGAATGTGTGATAATTATGATAAATTCTTTGTTAGATTAACCTATGGTATGGTATGATATTGTATGATGACCTTGTATGTTAAACTGGTATGATACATTAAGCATAGACATGAAATTGATGGCGGAAATGCATCCAAATGGAGTAAATTCACATGAATGATTGAAATATTGATTGATTAAAAGTATATGATGAATGATAGAGAAAGAATGAGATACATAATTATGATGGTTTGATCAGAATAACTTGAAAAGGGTAATTACAATACATATTATAGCATATTGAAGAATGTGTTATAATATCTATTGTGATCTATAAATTTATATAAATTATAACTTACGTATTATGACATGCTGACTGATAAAAAGAATATGGAAATGAAAATGTTAAGAAGGAGAATGAGTATAGATAGTACAACGATACACTGAGGGTATAAAGTCTAGAGAAGATTTAGGAAAATCTTTGAGAAATGAAGATGATGAATGCTAACGATAAATGTGTGCACAATAATTTATTGAAAAATGGACATTCACATGTCACACCCTCATTTCCTGACGAAGCTCTTGACTATACCTTTACTAAAAGGGGTCGAGATGACACATGTATATCCGTGATATTGCGGCCAATCAGCAGCTACTTATGCTAGGAAGTCCTTGAGGGAACCCAGGGACAATATATATATAATATGCATGTTAACATATAAATGTATGTTTAGTGAATGAAGTATTGTATATGCTCCAATTAATGGTTGTCTTATTGTATGTGTTTGGATGTGATGATTATAAATATGGACCGTACACTATTGATAATGAATTAAAATAGAATATTAAGCAATAACTTAGTTTCTTTTAAAAGTAATTTAGTGGAGTGAAAAATACTCACTCTTACTGAAATGTTTCAGGTAATGAAAGCGAAGAAATGAAGATTGGTAATTTGTTTTAGGGTCATACTCGGTAATGATTGTTAGAATAGAACTGCTCAGATATAATAAATTTTAATGTAATAGATGTAAAATTTCATTTATATATTTTATTCCTTGACAGTGAAAAGTTTTGTCGAGAAATTTTGTAAATTTGACAAATTTTATTAATTTGTATTCTCATCTTGTATTATTTATTCAAACCTATAAAATTTCTTGCCAAATTTCTTATTTATATTTTTATTAATGTAAATACATTAAAAAAATTATTTATAGAAGATAATGTTGTTACAATGATCAAGGATTTGTTTCCTTTTATTGGCCATAATATCATATCATAGATTTCTTTCTTTTGTGTTTAAAATTTTAAAGGACTAAAAGTATTCAATAAAGTACAAGCTATTATTATCAGAATTAGTTATCTCAAAAGAGGCTCTGTTAAGGATGAGTCTGTTTCTCTAAATTTCAAATTCACTATTGGTCATACGAATAATTCTTCCATGTCTAGACCAATAACAGGTTTATAGTTGGCTTAGTGCACACTTCGGTCGTGCATCATTTCATTCACTATCTGTATCTTGATCTATCTCTCCCTCTTGTGGACCTCAAGGTTAGTTTAATATTTTACTTTGAGTTGATTTGGGGGTATTATTTGTGACTAGTCTGAGTTTAGTTCACAAGTTGTCTAGTTTTTTTCATGTTTAATGTCTTTCCCAAATACAAAGGATTGATTCAAATTGGAGGGTTTCTTCAAGTCATACAGAAGCTGTTTTGAGACTGTTTGGGAGAAAAATTTGAAGGGGATACCTTATAAGATTTAGTAGTGGCTTTGGAGCCTCTTCCCTTTTCTTCCCTTTTGGTTTAAATATTTGGTATTGTGGTTGAATAATGCTTGTTTATAGATGTAAAGGAATCATTCTAGTGATTTACCCTTTTACCAAATAATCCACATGCATAAAGTGACCTTATCCTGCATGTGATAGCTTGGGAGTGGAGCTCAGCATTACTGCTGTAATCTTCCACCTCCATACCATTTTATTGCTGTCTTTTGACTTAAAGTGCCCCTAATGCAGGTGTCTTTCAACACCGTGCTTTTACTGAACACTCAGATCTAATGGGTTTGGTTTGGTAATGGTGAACAAAGCACTTTTTTTTCCGCTCAGAATAACAATATTTGGGATTTTACCTGGAGAGGAAAAGAGCAGTGATGGGATTGAGAAACATAAGGGTATTTGAGCCTTGTATTAAAGAAGGATGAGAAAAGGCATTCTATGTTGCAAAGTTACTGCAAAAAGAAATATTAGCAGGGGTTAATAAAAAAGATCAATTTCATTCACAGAGAGAAGGACTGCAATTCAAGCATAGAAGATAAGGTATCCTAGTAAATGAACATAACAAAACTACAGAAACACAAAGGACACGATGCACTGAAATACATGCCATAAGCTTTTGATCCATGCCTAAGGTCTACAATGCCCTTGAATATGACAATTAAAGACACTTTAAACACTGATCAGCATAAGAAGGCAAGCATATTGTGCTTGGAACCAATCTCTCACTGAGGGAAGCTCTAGTGAAATTAGTGTACTCTAGCTACTGCTATTGGAACCTAATGCAAAAGTCCAATAACTGAGACTGGGTAGGAAACTTGTGGTTAAATGAAATGAAACCATTGCTAATAAAAAAAACAGTCTAAAAACAGAACAAATAAACTTGTTTCGTTTCTGGGTATTGTATGCCCTGTTAAAATGTTAAAAAGTTTTTTCATTTTATTCTTTCCTTAAAACAAGAGAAACCCAAAACAGATAAAGACAAGACAGAACATAAATAAATATATTAAAAAGAGAATAAGAATGAAGTAACCAAATCAAGAGTCTCGTAAATAGAGTTTTTCAAAATCATTTTTACTTTTTTAACATGCAAAATGAAGTAACCAAATCAAGATTCTAGTGTATTTTGTCCTCTTACCTAATAACATGATCCATTAACTCAATCAAGAAATAACAAAGCAGCTTAAAAAAATCAAATGTAAAAAATGCCGAAATGACAGACCTTTTGCAGCTTCTACAAAACAGAATCCTCAAAAGCCTAATACTCAACTCCGACCAGATTATTATCGGCTAGAGAGGCAAAAGCAGCAACGGATTAGCAAGGTGACCAATCACCCTTCCTATGGCAGCAACATGCATAAACCCATAATCACAAATTAGCAAACCACACAACAAATATTCTTATTTTTATAAGGTTGGCTGTGGATACTTATTCATTTCATCTTTTTTTTAAAAAAAAAAATACTTTACCTAACAATATGGCGCATCTAAAATTGAGAAGGAATTATTTATATTATGAGAACACCGATGCAATAAGTAGACATCAAATTCGATATCGTATGTTAAAATGAAACAAATTCAATATCACATGATAAATTTGAAACAAATTCTACCATATGACACAGATGTTAGCTGGATAAGAATATTACATATTGTTCAGCCTTTTAAAGATGTTATCTTGTTTTTAATTTAAAATATTTATATAAAAAATAGTGATAATAATTTTAAAATATTTTTACTGTTTAACAGTGAAAATAGTAGTTCAGTTTTTAGAGTGACTTTGTCACAGTTATGATCTGATGGGAAGGAAGTTGGGGAAATTATAGTAAATATACAAAATTGTGCCATCTGAAGGCTTCCTACTCTTACTCTGTGCGTCTTTCTCAACAAGCAACTCACCATCTCTCTCTTCACCTTCTCTTGCTCTCTCGATCATATTAAAAGCAACAAAAGACTTTTTTTATTTTTTTTCTTTACAAGTGTAAGCCTCTCTCTACTTGTTACAAAATCACCATACCAATAATAACAAATAAGAATTAAAAAAGGCAGAACCATCTATCAACGTGCCAATACTCTTGTTTTGCACACAGAAGAACCAAAACCGACCTTTATCCAAAGCTAATCGTATTTTATTATTGAAGAATGTTATAACTTTAACACGCTGATTATTTTAGCATACACTCTTATTTTTTTAATTAAAATTTATTAAAGATTATAAAAATATAAGTTAAATTTTTAAATCAAAAGTAAGACTATGCAATTTTTATAATTTTTAGTGAATTTTAATCAATAATAAAAAATTTAAGAGATTATGTTAAAAAGTTTATTATTAATATTTTTTTAACATTAAATCAGATATTAATAATAGAAAATTGAAAAGAAATATCCAGGAATCCTTTCGTATAGGCAATTATCCTTGGTGGGGCCATCTGGACCATTCCCAAATTTGTCATCTTCAACAAAGATAAGCATTCACTCAAACCATGCCTTATTATGCTCATGGCCTGTGAGTTACAATTCCCAATGAAATTCCACTAAAGCCACCATCTTTTGACTCAATAAATCAACACCCAATATTCAAAATTCCAACTTTTTTTGTTAATTTTTCTTTCCATTTATTACCATACTAATCAATAAACCTGATCACTCTTTCAGATCCAGAACCACCCTCCTAGAGATGGATATTGATGAGTGGGAGTTTCTCTCTGATGATGGCTACCTTGATTTCAGTGAAGATGGTGAGAAGAAGCAAATTTCCTTTGGAAAAGGAAACTTGGACTCAAAAAGTGTTTTTGACATGGAATACTTTTGTTCATCACCACCTAGAAAATCAAGGGTGCACAATCAACTAGTCCCTTTGCCAATTCAATTGGAACCCAGAATTTGTAAGGCCTCAGAAGATGTATTAGTCAAAGACATGATCAAAATTGCTACTCCATCAGAGAAAGCCAAAGACTTTGAGGTAGTGGAAGCTGATCAGGACACAGTGTCCCAAGTTTTCTTCAAGATCAAGGAAAGTGAATTTGTGGACATGAAAATGGACTCCCCCAAGTCATGTAATAGGGGATTGTTGCCTCCAATGGATGCAAGTGCCTTCAAATTTGAGGACAAAAGTGAGGCCAAGGAAATCATCACCTCTCCCAGAAGGATGATTGAGAAGGGCATGTTTGGGATGGAGAGTGACAAAGAAGAGGACTCAACATGGGAAGAAGAGAACAACAGTGGTTTCAACATATGGAAGTGGAGTTTGACTGGTGTTGGAGCTATTTGTTCTTTTGGTGTTGCTGCTGCTACTATATGTGTTCTCTTCTTTGGAACCCAGCAAAGGAACAAACTAAAGCAGGAGCAGCAGATTCGGTTCCAGATCTATGCTGATGACAAGGTCAGCTAATTTTCTCAAAAATATAATTAAGTATTGCTTGGTTTGTTGCCTTAAAATTATTAAATTTTATGCTTGATTTATGATGGGTTTGTGTTATTTGTTCAAAATGTATCATGGAAATAAAAAAAAAAGTGTTTATTTTGTGGCAAGTGTGGAATTTTCACCATTGATTTGGTCCAAAAAATTATTCTAATTAGGAGATTTTAAAATTCTTGTTATTCTCTGACTGTGGAAAATGTCATAAATTTTAATATATATTCAAAAAAATTAAAGTAAAAGCAATTTTATAATTTAAACATTAACAGAAGATTTTTAAAATTTTACATTCTGTCAATAAATTTAAATTATTAATAGGAGGATTTACTAAAGATATTTATGTTGGTTCTAGGATTTTGAACTAACCTTGAATTTGATTGTGATTTCAGAGGATTAAGCAAGTGGTACAGCATGCGACCAAATTGAACGAAGCAATATCTGCAGGAAGAGGTGTTCAGATGAGCAGAGCTCACATAAGCATTGGTGGTTACTATGATGGTCTTTGAAGCATGGATTTGATGAGTTTCTTGAAACAATTGGAATCTACAATGGATCAACAGTGTGACAAGATCTATTAATCTGGCCCTATCATATATTGCTGTAAATAACATGATGCCAGATGCTATTTCCTTAATGCTTATGTTTGTTCTGTATATTTTCTGTTCTCGTGTATAAATTAAGTCACAGATTAGAGGCACTTTTATTATTATTTGATTAATAGTTCACAATTCATGTACCAACATGTTTTTAACTTAGTTTTTAGTTTTGGGTATTTGTTTAGTTCTTAAGTCAGGTGCAACAATGCAATGAATTGAGTCGTCGAGTTAGTGGTAACCAATGATCTTGAAATTTGAAAATGTCAATGGTGACCAAATACTAATATCCAAAGTTAGAATTATTGTCAGTGTGACAACTGACAAATTACTGAAAGAATTTCAAGGGTTCTAAGTGTAAAAGTTTTGAACATTATTATCGATATGTTGTTAAGAATATTATTTTATTACTTGTTTCTTATAATATTCTCCACTTGGGTAAGAATATAGGTTAAGCTGTTTGAAGGTATAATCTATTTAATAAGGTGAGATAAAAGTTTTATTATTTTTAGGAAAGTGACATAAAAATAAAAGTGTTTAATGTTTAGCAGAAAAGTGAATATATATACTTTCTGCACTTTTTTCTAATATTAATTTGTAAATAAATGAAATAAAAATCTTTTTTACATTCATAGGTAGAAATGATATTTTTCTTCAGTAATTACTATAAAAAATTTTAAATTATCTCATACTAATTGATCACACACAAATTATTTTTAGAAAAAATGAACAATAAATGGATATAATTTATAATTTTTTCCTATAATGTTATTTTGAATAATCTCATTCTAGATGGAGATGATAATAACATCACACTCAATAGATACTTACAAAGAATTCCTACAACGGTTAGGATAATAATGACCGTGTTAAATATGTTATTTTACAAAAAGGTTATGTTACACTTAAATTTCTACTAATATTATATTTACATTCTTACAAATTAAGATCGATTTTTACGTGAATGATTTTTTTTATATATTAAAATTGAAAACCTTAACTTCACGTTGTGGTGTTTAATTATTGTATTGCAATGTTATGAGGTTGATGTTCAAGTTTACTTAGTTCAAATATTGCTAGTCGGCCATCTAACAATTTCGCTTTCACAAAAAGTATAAGTAATTAGTAGTTTGGTATGAAAGCGTAGGTATGCACACAATATAGAGATGGGCACTAAAATTATTACCCAGATGAGTATGAATTTGGAGGCAAACATTTTCTTGCAATGTTGATATAGGAACCATAATTGTATTTAGGTGTTATGGTGCTATTCCTTAATTTGACTTTGAAGTTTTACTTTAATAATGTGTAAACTTTTAATGTTGGTTACTCCTCTTTTACACGTGATATATGCTTTTTATTTAATTTACATATAATAATTATAATTTATTATTTTACTTACTATTAAATATAAGTTAAATAAAAAACTTAAATCGAGACTCGTTGAGACCATTTTTCCTACCGGTATATATATATTTTTTCTAATATTTTCATTTTATGTATCACTGAACCAGCTAGTCAAGGGTGGGTTTAATTACCCGTTACTATCAAGTAGTTGCTTCTTCCTACTGCTTACGTCTCTAATGAAAAGGGGAAACCCATATAAATCTAAACAGCAAAGTGATGAGATTTCATTGTCCACATAGAAAAAGATATTTGTGATATGCATGAAGTCACGAAACAGGGAAGAAGAGAGAAAATGAATGATTGAAGAACCCTTACCTCCAAACAAAATGAGATTTATTGAGACATGCCCCACTTTGGACAATGAATCACTCTAGTAGCCTTCGTGGACCAACACCAATGCCACACCGTCTTCATTGTTTCATCGTCCAAATAAGTGACGTTTGGTGTTCATTTGAAATAAGAGGAAAAGGAAAATTTGCAAGTGATTGTACGTGATGGCCCTTTCGGAAATACACGTTGAATGCCCCGTATTTGGAATTGCATGCAACCACAGCAACTGTTCCACGAATGTGGGGTTCCCAAGGATTCCAATAATTCAAGATTCACAAACAACATTTGGGGTTGCAACTTGCAAGGGAGAATCTTAGTCGTGTAGTGTTTTGAGCTGATTTTAAAACCAAGTCCTCTCTGATTTTGTTTTTGTTTTTATTTTTGTCACTGTGGGCTCCTCGCCTAATTGAAAGGTCATACATGGACCTCAGTTGATATGTCAGACCTAGCCCAAAGAATAAAACTAGAGACTAAGGCTCAATAACAGATTTATTTGTCTCTAATCTTCTTCATGAATATACCTCAGTTTTATCTTTAATAAAATTTCTTAAATAATAAGTATTTTTAAATCAATATTGCATTAAAATATGATTTACATTGAGTTCAATTTTAATAATAGTTTTATGTATATGTTTTGGTGAGGTTCGTGCTGATATTCGGACAAACCCTCAATGATGAAGTATTAGAGATGAATTTCATACGAATTTAAGATATTATAGTATTTATTTTTAAGTTCATGGGTTCTTAAATACCCTGAATTAAATTTATTATCCATACTTTTTATTAAAATAAAAGTGTTATTTGATATCTTAATTATCAACGTGAAGTTATTACCCGATCGATTGATAATGTTCCTTGGTCAGCGAATTTGAAGAAGGACCACAAATTTTAGATAATGACAACTGGGAGTTAAGGTTTTTAAATTTTACATGTAAAATTTAAGTCATTAAAATAAAATTTGTCATAATTATAGTCATAAGAACGTAGGTATAACATTAATTTTCATTTTAAAATTATTATTAAACTAGTAAATATGTTCGTGCATTTTACGTGTTTGTTTTATTTTTATTAAATTAATTTATTTTAAAATATAAAATATATAATTTAAATATAAAAATAAATAAATATAGTAAAAAATTTATTTGTTAAAAGAAATTATTGTTTAAAATTATTTAAAATATATATAATTTAGTATTTCCTAACATAAAAAATAGCATAAAATATTTTTTTAAATATAAAAATAAAATTTATATTATTTCATAATATTATAAATCATTCATTATTATAAACTTTTAAATAAATAATTATAACAATAAATTATAAATATAATAAATTTTTTAATATAAGTTATAAAATTTAAATAAAAAGTCTTATAATTTTTTATTTATGTATTTATTTATATTTGTTAAATTAAATTTATATGATAAACTATTTATTTATAATTATAATTTAAAATTATTAATAAATTTTTACTATATAATTATTAAAGCATGATATCATATTTTTTAAAAATAACTTATCAGACTAATATACACAAAAATAAAGTTATATTTATTCAACTAATGTATGAAATTTTAAAAATCTACTTTCAATATCAATATATACACAACTATATGTTAATATTTAAAAATAAAAATATATTAAATTTTTTATATATAAATCAAATTATCATATAAAATTATTGTAAATAAAAATTAATAATAATATAATATATATTCTGAATTAAAAAATTGTATAAAATTGAATTTTTTTTAAATGATTAAATTATTCTATATTTTTTATAACTTAACAGAAATAATATTGATTGATATTATAAATAAATCACTTTTATTTAATAATTAAGTATAACAAAATTATGTTGTTTGGGTCATAAAATTAAAATAATAAATTTATTAATTTTTATTATGTAATTTCTTTAAATTTTTGAAAATAATTAATACGGTTTGTTTATCATTTATCATTTTAATTAAGAATCAATAAAAATAAATATATCTATAAAGTAATTTAATGATAAAATAATATTTTAAAAAATTTATTAAAAGAAAAAATATTAATTTAAATAAAATTTAAAAAATAAATTTAAAATGCTATATAAAAGGAAACATATAGATTGAATTAAAAATAAGTAAAAAAAAGTATATTATTATTAAGTCTGTAATTATTTTAAAGATATATAAATATAACTTTAATATAAACACATTAAAATATTATATTGCCATGAAAAAAAAAATAGATGTGTTCTAACTATTTTGACGTAGATCTAGTGAATTTGAGATTTTATTTTTTTGTTTAGATATATTTTTGTCTATTTCTTTGACACATTATCTAGTTTTACAAAAATAGGTCAATATTCAGTGAACCTAATTTAAATATTTTTTAAATTAAAAAATATAAAATTTTAAGAATATAACATAATAAATAATTATATTAATAAAAAAATATTTGTATTGATTTCATATTTTTATGTATAATATCTGTATTTTGATTTATATTTTTAGAACTAATTATAAATCTACAAAATGACTGAATATCAAGAAAATTTTCAAATCAAAAGCCCTAAACTTATATTCTAATATGAAAATTTTGAATAATTATATAGTTAGAATATAAAATTCTAATAAATAAATATAATTTAATATGTTAATATAAAAAATATTTTTATAACATTTTAAACAGTAACCTCTATCTTTCTTGGATTGAAAGTTTTTTTATAATTGTAAAGATTTAGACTTTATACTCATAAAATTTTAAAAGTACGTAAAAAAAAGTTCGTTAGCTTTTGAAACAAATGATATATATAGAAATTAAATATTTTATTTGAACTTAATTAAGAGTTAAAACTTTATATTTTCTTTACTTATTCATTCATTGCGATATAAAATTATTAAATATAAAAATAGAATGATTAAATCATGTTATGATATTTAATAATGTTTAATTTATTTCAATTATTATAATTATTTAGTTTTAATTAGAGAATTTCAAATTTATCATCATCATTATAACATTTTATAAAAAAAATATTGCAACAAAATCATTAAGTATAAATATTGTTAATTTTTTAATTTAAAAAAAAAATTGCCATCATAATTATTATAATATAAAATATAAATAAAATATTGTCTATGTTAATAGGTTATACATAATTATGATATATGAATTCTTATTAAATTAGTTTTTAAAAAAATTAAAATTATAGAAGAAGAGAAAAAAAGAGTAATTAAAAAATTTTTAATTAAGATTTAGGTAGAAACTAAGAGAGAAGAATGATTGTATTTAATATAAAATTTAATCTTTATATCAATTAAAATTACAGATGTTGATATAATATAAAATTTATGAATCATATATAAAATTTGTCTAAGACTAAAGTTAATACATAATATATATATATATATATATACATATATATATATATATATATATATATATAAAATAAAGTAAGAGAAATATATATAATAAAATAGCAAAATTATTTTATAAAAAACTTAAATGTTTAGTGACATTTTACTTTTCAGATTCTACGCAATATTAAAAGTATTTATACAATACTGCAATAAAAATAGTTCAATCTTCTAAATCCTCCATTGTTATTTTCTGTTCATCATTTTTTTCTTTGTCTTTCTCAAGTTGTAACTTAAAAGAAAATATCAAATATAAATTATTGTATGATCTAAGAAATTTGAACAATAATTATAAAT